TAGTATTAGAACCCCGCGCTGGCTGCTGAAGACGGGGACGAAGCGCGAATGAGAATGATCAGTGCTGCGATGTCAATTCTTGGCTCAACTGACTGACTTTCTACACCACATGGACATCACACAAGCGATAAACACCCGACGACACAAAGTGCCACCATGTGGATGAGGATCACCGTCGAGAGGTACAAGAAACCGCGTTCAGACAAGTGGCCATATTTATGGCCTGCCTATATTGCAGCCCCTGGCAAAAGCCAGGGTGGGGCTACAAATAACAAAAAATTTCATCCTAAAAAGGACGTAAGCTTTTATACTGATGACTCAACTCAACTTCCCACGTTTTTGTTATGAGATAAAGGATATTGAAAATCCATTCCAGAGCAAACCTTTATTCTAGGCAGGTGATTTGAGTAAAATAAAATAATAACAAATCGTTACGTTCAACCAGGGGTATTTAAACTGGGTTATGTGCGCCATATAAAAGGACTTAGCATTGCTCGCCACCAAGTAGCCGTTAAAAGAACTCATGCAGTGTTGATGCCATCAAAGAAGACTGACGCAAATTCTGTCTTGAACGGCTACGAAGTCGCCTACCGGCGAGCCAATGGGCGACCCGGCCGACGATGCCTTCATTGTAGAGATAGCACCTATTTATAGATATCAGAAAGTCTTAAACTAAGGTAGACAACTATACCTTTACCTATACCGTTTCAGCAAACCTGTAATTTACTTCCCTTTAATTATTCTTTTTAAAATCCGAGTTCAGTAAAGCTCACCAAGAAGTTCAAAGTTCACGAACTGGCTCATTGTGTTTTATACCATCAAACTCACCTCCCACTGGACAGTGGGTTATAGTACCCTATTTCAAGAAGAAAAGAACAGATCCACTGCTCCCCTCCCCCACCAAACAAGCATATTGTAAATGGCAAGAAATTAAAGATCTGTTGAAATTTAACATATATGGGCTGAAAGGCAAAGATATCGCAGTCTAGCAGTAAACAACAACACAACGTTCTACTCATCCTTTTAGGGGTGAATGCAGGCGAAAAACAAAACGAAGAGGAAGATAAGACAATCCCTTAGCTTTTTCAGATCCAAGCAGCTCTCCAGTTCCTGCTTATATGCTTCATTCAGTTCCTGCTTATATGCCTCAGTTAGTTCCTGCTTATATGCTTCAATCAGTTCCTGCTTATATGCTTCAGTTAGTTCCTGCTTATATGCTTCAGTTAGTTCCTGCTTATATGCCTCAGTTAGTTTCTGCTTATATGCTTTAGTTCCTGCTTATATGCTTCAGTTAGTTCCTGTTTATATGCTTTAGTTAGTTCCTGTTTATATGCTTTAATCATTTCCTGCTTATATACTTCAGTTAGTTCCTGCTTATATGCTTCAGTTAGTTCCTGCTTATATGCTTCAGTTAGTTCCTGCTTATATGCTTCAGTTAGTTCCTGCTTATATGCTTCAGTTAGTTCCTGCTTATTTGCTTTATTCAGTTCCTGCTTATATACTTCAGTTAGTTCCTGCTTATATGCTTTAGTTAGTTCCTGCTTATATGCTTCAGTTAGTTTCTGCTTATATGCTTCAGTAAGTTCCTGCTTATTTGCTTTAATCAGTTCCTGCTAATATGCTTTAATCAGTTCCTGCTTATATGCTTCAACATGTTCCTGCTTACATGCTTCAATCAGTTCATGCTTATATGCTTTAATCAGTTCCTGCTTATATGCTTCAGACAATTCCTGCTTATATGCTTTAATCAGTTCCTGCTTATTTGCTTCAGACAATTCCTGCTTATATGCTTCAATCAGTTCCTGCTTATATGCTTCAGTCAATTCCTGCTTATATGCTTCAGTAAGTTCCTGCTTATAGTGTGTAATGTTTTCAACTGCTTCTGGTGAAAATATTTATGCCACAGACAAAAAAGAATAGAAATGTTGTTAGTTCATTCAGTGGTCCATAGAGTTTACGTTCCATTGTTGTTCTTTCTGGCCTAAAGGTTTGCCTTAATGTGTCAAATTCGGTGCAGTCCTAGAGTACATGCTCTGCTGTCTGGGGCACCTTTCCACAGGTGCACATGGCTAGTACGCCTATCTTGAATTTTGAGTACATGTGGCGTGGATTTTTATCGTGGTATGGGGCGTCGCAGGTCGACCCAGCCTAAAATTGGTACCAGGATGGATGTCCTGGGAAAATAAAGATGGCCGGCGTAATGCTGACCATATTACCCACCTAGTGCCGATTGGTCTGAGAAAAGGGATCTTTAATTTACTTAAACATAGATAACTGAAGAGAACTTTTAACTAGATACTATTTGGTATCACATTCTACTATTGAGACTTATCATCTGAAAGTTGCATTTAACATACTGAGAAAACACCACAGTAACGTTTATCCACACATGTTTATTTCATATATATTTTCAAAATGGTACACATCTCAGAAAAGTTCAGATATTTTTATCTTTCATTACTTATTTATACTAACAGAAAAATAAATGTTATCTAGAAAATGTTTAGGCAAAACAAACTCTGAGAAATAATCAGAAAACAGAAAATCCAATTATCTTAACCCTGTCGCCATGCGAATGCTAAGAAAAAAATGGGCCGCGAACCTATTCGATTCTCCCTAAAAAACTCCCTTTTAAAAAAAAAAAAAAACTTTACACAGGTCACTAATAAATTCTGTAAAAATGTATAAACATAAATTTTAAAAAAAAAATGAATTTTATTAATTATAAAGATATATATAAAAAGGATAATCAATAAATAATAAGCACAAAATGAAAAAAGAATTCTCCGGGACCTGAAAGTCACCAATATATCTAGGGTGACTCATGCCATGACTCTATGACCTCTATCAAGAGGTTTACAGATTGATGTGACATCAAGTTCGCTTTAAAAAGCCATTGTGGTAATAGGGGAAACTCCTATACATTCTACTTTTAGTTACTATATTCATATCGTAGCGCTGTTCAGGTGCACACAGAACCAATGGATTTTTAACTATGTTTTTCGAGATAATGGCAATATCATCAAGAATATGCATGGGACAACATATCTATGCTGCTTTTGAAACTGAGATAGGAGACATTAAAACCAGCTCTTCGTGATAACAATTAGAAGAGGTACCTTGGAATGGCTGCTGCATGGAGGACTGAGCATGCAAGGGAATGCCCAGTGCGAGGATGACGATAGTGACAACATCATATAACATGTGGAAGTCAAAGGGACCTAATCTGAAGGCTCATTCCCCACTGCAAACTCCCAATGAAAATTCTGGTCATTTGTCCATGTCTGGGACTTTGGTATTGTTGTAGCACTCGAATTGTGTGTGCATATCCATTTTACAGATCATGCTTATCTGTATGCAGACTGTTGGTTCTCATTTCTCAAGCAGATGTACTCTGATTTTAACAAAACACCAATTAGCCTTTTATGACATGCTTGTTGGGGGAGGTGAGGCAGTGAGTATATTCTTTTCCCGAAAAATGTGACCCCACAATCTGCAAAGAAGTATAGACAAATAATCATTACCAACTTGAAATAAACATTCAGGAACTATTAAATTGAACAATTCAGTTATTACTGAACGACAATCAGGGTCAAATGAAACATTCAATTGCTCTTTACCCACATATACCCATACTGGTACAGATGTATAAAGAAAACAAACAAAACTCCCCTACAAACTGAGCTTCACAAACACTCATAAACCTATTCTTAGGATCATCATCTGCTAGTTCTTTTTTGTCTTGCAGACCTATGTGAGAATATGAGGCAAGCAGTTTGTTGTATGTGTGGTTTGCATGGCTAGATAAGACTCAGATCAGGAACATACACTTATGGATTTTGCGTATGTGAAGCAATGAATAGGCTAACAGACTGGCTGCTGCCATTCTTCTCGGCAGTGAGCTACTTTATGCTAATGTGGATGTGGTGAAGAGTCTCTATGATCAAGTGGACAATCCTAATGATACAGAATATCCAGACCTCGAGAGTCTGATTCAGCAAAGAGTGAACGGAGGGTGTGGACTGTTACCAGTATGCAGAGAAAAAAGATAGGCAGACTTTTGATCAGGTGCCACTGTCACTATAAGTATGAGACCTGTTCTCTGGCTTCTGAGGAAGGGGACAGGGCTGATGTGGGAATGCCATGAGTGCAGTGATGTCAGTTCCTCATCCACTCATCCACTCATTCACTCATTCACTCATCCACTCATTCACTCACTTAGTTTCATAAGCACACTCAGACACATTCATATTTAATAATACTAGGATATACAGCTTGAAGTTATACAAGCCACCCCCAGGGTATAACAGACATGACACTTTTGACAGTTTCTGAGGGAGAAAAACTGAAAAAATCAAGTGACTGATTTGACCAATCAGGCTCAAAATGATACTACTTTCTGGCTTCTATCATATCTGCTGAAAGCCGTCGATGAACAGCTTTAGGTGACCCAACCACCTTCAAGATAAGGAAACAAAACTTTTGACAGTTTCTGCACACTTGCAAAATATGACACTGTATTGTGCAATCAAGCTCAAATCGATTATACCCTCTGACTTCTATCACATCTGCTGGAAGCTGACAATGAACGGCTTTAGGTGGCACAAATCACCTTCTGTGCTTTAATAATATCCTACCCCAAACAGGGGAAATCCACAGGTCACGGGACAGTCTAGTATTTCAGGAGGGGGGGGAGGTAGATGGGCTACATGCATTCATAGGACCTAGGCTGCACTCTTTCATGGGACGTATGTGGTTTGGGGTTAGGGCCAGTTCTAGATGTTTTGGTGTTGTTAAATGCATCAGAAAGCCAGGAAACCCAGTCTTACCACCCTCTAAAATGTTGGATTGTAATCTGGGGTAGGATATTAATAAAGAACCTCACTCTCAAGATAAGGACATGAAACTTTGACATTTTCTGTACACACACAAAAGCTGACAGCAAACATGAGATTATATTGTCCAATCAGGCTCAAAACTAAACTACAATCTGGCATCTATCACAACATCTGCTGGTAGCCGTAGATGAATGGAATTCCTGTTGGCACCCGCCTCTGATACTCCAAGTAATCTTCCCCAAAGAAGTTGAGCAAGCAGATCTCTTCCTCATAAATGCGCTCATTGAAAAACCGCCACGAAACGATGGTGTAGGCAATGAGGCAGACTGGGTTGCATAGCATGATCTGAAACACAGGATAAAAGATTCTGAAAATTTGATGCTGGAGTAGCCGTATCAGTGATTACTGTAAATTCAAAATAAACATGATAGATGGTTAAACATAGATCAAATTATCTTTTTTTCACCCTTTTACCCTGGTAATGCACACACACAAAATTTAAAAAAAAAAAAAAACTGTTCTGGAATTCCCTTTGAAAAATCAAAAAGTAAGCAAAAGTTTTACACAAGTCACTAATAAATTTATTTACAATTTTTTAAACTAAATTTTTCATTTTCTTTCATTAAAATATATAAAAAGATATATGGAGAGAGACATCAGTAAGCAATGTGATAAAATAGTAGATGGAATACATTCTCCTGGGCCACACACACACACAAAACTTGTATAGGGTGACCCTAAATAAGCAACAAACAAACCTAAAGACAAAACCTGCAGCATACCTGTGTTCCTAAACTCCAAGCAAACCAGCCAACATAACTTGGATGCCTAAAGAGACGGTAGACACCTCGGGTAACCAGAATGTGTCCATCTTGCTTGGTGTGTTGAATGTGGTGGTTGAAGTTGGTCTGTGCTGTGAACATGCTAAGTTTTCGCAGAATCTCACCTCCTATTGTCAGCACTGCCCCAAAACCACTCACCCAGTGAAGCTGTTTCAGGTCTGAAATTGTAAGTTTAAATCAAAATGTTTTAATTTCAGATTCTGTCTAATACATATATACTAGTTGCAGAGATGCTGTTTTACAGAAGTAGAGGAGCCGGAGAAGAGAAGCAGGGGGAGAAGAAGAAAACACTGCTTTCAAGCTCAAGCAAGTTATCTTATTAAGTTGAGTCAAGAATTGACATTACAGCACTCAGGGCATGCCCATGATCGGTCCTCATCTTCAGCAGCCAGTGCAGAGTTCCAATACTGATAGTACCGGTCACAATCTGGTTTAATGTCCGTCTTGCCTTTCCTCTGAGTGTAGTCAGCCGGCCAGACCCTCTGGCCTTGACCACATCTGCCTTGTCATGTATCAATTCACCACCCAGTGGTGCGGATTCAGCCAATCTGTCTGCCTGTTTATTACCCACCACGCCCGCATACCCTGGAGAAAGGATCCAAAGTATGCTCACCACCCATGACCTTTCCAGTGAAGCTTGCCACTTTGCTCGAAGCATTCTTGTCTTCACCTATTGAGCATGCTTTCAGAGTCCGTTACAATTCAACATGTGTATACATCTTTTTTCTCTAGCCACCGGAGAGCTACAGTTACCGCCTCCACCTCCATATTCATGCTAGATGTTGTGGTGTCATATGCTAGGCGGTCTTGTAATAAAAATATAAATAAATATTTTCCATTGGCTTTTGCCACGAACCCCAGGTATTTCTCTTTCCTCTCAGAACAAACCATATGTATAGATAATCAGATCACCTGGGTGTTATCCTGGAGAGGGGAGGTGACTAAACAAGGAATCCATCTTGCCTAACTGTGTTCCATAAATAACAAAATCTTCACCTTGAAATATCACATTTTACAACACATAAAATGAAATTTTTTAGTTTCCAGGAGATATAACACATACCCAAAAAAAATGTTTATCTAGAAACACCAAAATTTCTAACATATATAATAAAATCTTTACCTGGAAAAATCAAATTTTCCAGGACAAACTCCAAGCAACTGGCCACAGCGGCCAGTTTGTATTCACGGCTATGGTCCAGCAAAAATGACTCCAGGGTCAGCGACTTGGAATTGGTCAGGGCTGTGGTTTGATACTCTGACCAGTGGAAAAATGTCAAGGCCATCATGTACCAACCGAAGTGGCACCACCATGTACTGTAGAAACTGAGCAAGACACTAAGGCCAAAAGCAAACCCCAGGTTTCCAGCCCTCACAGCTATCTGCAGAAACAGAAAGGAAAGATTAGTTTGTCATTTCACTGAAGGAGGGGGAAGAGGAGGAGAATAAGAATCTAATTACAGTAGCATCTCAGTATACATCCACTTTGGTATGCATCTAACTTGGAATATGTCCTGTACAGACTTTCTTTGGAAAACACCTTGCGTGCCAGAACGTGTATGAGTCACGACAGCACAAACTATCTCCGTTTACCTCTTTCACTAATCAAGAACGTGTTTGCCAAATGAATACATGAAAAAACCAACTTGGCAAAACAAGAAAGGGGGGAAGAGGGGGCATCAGCACCCCCAAAGTGCTTACAAATTTTCTAGAAAGGTCAAGAGGTTTAAGCCTTGTTTAAGTGCATACATACTAAAAGATATTACTATTTTTATATTTTATGTCAGTATGTGCTGAATGGCAAACAAATATGTCTGAAATAATATGATGTGAAAGAGAACGAATTTTCATAGTCATGGGGTTGATGCAGGAAATTGCGTATCCCTTTTACAAATTGGAGCTTTGGGGGAGAGGGGGGGGGGGGGTTCCTGAGCTTCAGTTTCTGGCAACCCTGAGCACCTCTAGTGTACACCAGAAGAGGTGGAACGGGAGATAATTAACAATACAGTAATTCTAGAATACAAAACAGAAGTAGGACAGGTATGCTATGTTAATTAAATTATAAATGACAATAAAAGAGTTCATCTTCTTTACATTCACCGACTGTAAACTGGTAGAAAGTAAAGTTCTTGTTGTCAGTCCACTCCCGGACTCTAGTCCTGTGCCAGAATCTAAATGTTGTGCGTATATCTATTTTACAGATCTAACTCATCTCAATGCAGACTGTTGGTTCCTTGCCTTTTAGACAGATGTACTCTGACTTTGAAGGAAGCTCTGACTGACTCTTTCTACAAACTTCTGGATAGGCAGTGGGTTTATTCTTGTTTTCCCCAGAACCCACACAGTGTAAACAACAGATATATAAAGTTTAGTGGATTTGCTGGCTGAGCAGGCGATTACAAACAATGTAGGTAGTGGGTGTATGAAGAAAAGACTGAGGACTAAAAACTAACGATTTGGAAATTCCAGTAATTAGTAGGTCAGCTTTCTTCCGAATACTGGTCCCAAATTATCAAAGCAGAAAATATACCCTAACAGGGCCTCAGTCAAGTGTCAATTGCATACTTCCGGGGACTATACCGGCGCCGCCGAATTGTGAACTTCGGAGTGGATTGGGGCTTAACTAGATGGCTAGGACTTGGAATACTCTCGGCGGTAGTGGAAGTTGCCAGAAGTGTGGAAGTTGCCAGAAGTGCGCAATTTAAGTCGCCGGAAGTGCGCAACTGACGCTTGACTGAGGCCCTGTTAGGATATATTTTCTGCCTCGATAATTTGGGATCGTTATTCGGAAGATAGACAGTAGGTCTTGTAAACAATAATCTGAGACAGGAAAAAGGACAGGTAAGAATAATCAGATGATTCCTAGTTACGAAACAAAATCAATGAAGAAATTAATTGTAAGGCAGGCATTAGAATAGGAAGCTGCATAAACCCTACTAAACAGTTAGCTCAGTTACCTTGTAGGAGTCCTTTTGGTGGACATAGATCGCAGAAAAGGCTCCATTGCAGACCAGAAAATGTATCATCAACAAGGCATGCCACAAATCTTGCCACAGAAAGCTAGCGGATGGGATGATAGTCATCAATGGCGGCAATAAAACGACACTAGCGCCTGATAAAAAGGTCACAAAGGATATTTTGGCCTGCCGGATCATGTTGACCCAGGTTTCATGAGAGAATAAGTGACGAGGTGTTGAAATTGTCTTCGATTCCTGGAGCAGACATCATATCATATAAAGTTGGACGTGGATTTGGACAGTCGCTAGCAGTTAAAAAAAAAAAGATTACATAAAAAATTGACCGAGTAATAAAGATGAAACTACTTTAACTTGAAATATTTGCTGTTGAAATGAGTTAACTCTAACCCACATGCCAGCACCCGGGACAATCCCATAAGCACCGCGTCTTCATCTTCAGCAGCCAGTGCTGAGTTCCAATTATGATGGTACCAACAACAGTCTGATTGTATGTCCAGCTTTGTTGTTGACTGAGGAAACGAAGGCACCAGAGAAAAACACTAAGATGAATGTTGATAAGTAAGTAAAGTTCCTTTTTCACGCCTTTAGGAGCATCTGACATATGGGAAGAGCAATAAAATTTGTACAGACCAATCAGCACTAGGTTGGTAATGTCGTCAGCATTACCCGGCCGTCTTTACTTCCCCACGACATGCATCTTTTTGATGTGTGTTATTTTTCTTTTTATAACCTAGAAAAAGAGATCTGTTTAAAACTGCAATGCTGGCTTTTGTGTGAATTTCACTTAGTTGACTCAATGTTTTATGATAGTAGGTCATCATTGCTGTATTTTCTAGAATCATATGTTATATTCAAAACAGTAGTCTTGAAATATATGTTCGGTTGTCTGATATTTGAATTGAACGAACGGATTTCAGTATATTACATCACCATAACTCTGTTATGTCGTTCACATTCTTTACCCATGTGCAGTTTTTGTCTATTACCTGGTAATTATGAAGGGCCTCACAAAATCTAGCTTATCAAACATTAATTCACCAAAAAGTGGTGTAGAACCAGCCAGTTCTATCTGTCTCCTCATTTCCCAACACATTGGCATAACATGGAGAAAATATTCAAAGGATCCTAACTACCCGGAACCTATGAAGTTATCCTTGCCACTCTGCACGAAGCATACCTGTCTTCACCTTTCTCAACATGCTCTGTAAGTCAGTTACAATCACGACATGTGTGTAAAGCTGATTCTCAAGCCAGCGGAAGACAGCAGAGACTGCACTCACCTTCATTCTCAAACTAGACGTTGTGACAGCATATGCAAGGCTTTGCTGCACTAAGCGACGTCGATATGCCTTTGCTATGAACTCCATGCACTTCGTCTATCTCTCAACACAGAGCCATCTGTATAGATAATCACATCACCTGGGCGGGAATTGTCATGATTCATTTGTTGAACTTCTGATTCTGGTCAGTCTCTGCACTCATGACCTAAATTGATTAGTATCTCTTGTACATCCCATAATTATATGCATGGCTTCATTGTGTATAAGAAGATGTCGAGGTCGACCTCTACTACGTTATAAAGATGTATGCAAGCGGGACATGAATGATTCAGGTATTGAGGCGGACTCATGGGAACAAAATGCCATGGACCGTGTTGTGTGGAAAGGGTATATCAGGAAGGGAGTGAGACCGAAGGAAGAAATGATTGCAGAAAGGATGAGAGCTGAGCGTCTGAAAAGAAACGGATTAAACACAAATGTTGTTAACAATGGTCCTGAAATCCCATGCTATCATCGTGGAAGACTTTTCTTTACACGGGCGGGTCTTGCTAGTCATACTCGACATCGCCATGGGCTATAAGTCTTGTGCCTCCCCGTGGCGCAATATAACACTATCGTCTGGGAAGACGGAAAAGTGCCATTATTATGTGTGCGTTCCAGTTTTATCATCTGACTCTTTGATATGGTAAGCATTCCAAGTCCATAATCTAACACCAACAGGATCACTTAGTGAAACATTATGAACAGCATTCTTTGTTTCGTGTCCATCGTGCTATAATCTTGAGGACATTGAGTCCTTTCTGGCATTTCACCGCAACTGTTTCCACCTGATCCCTATAGGACAGGTTCTATCGAAAGTTAAACCCAGGTACCTCAGTTTTGCATAAAATGTCCTAGAGGGAATGTCTGTCAGTGAATACCAGCAGCCAAGCAACACACCACATGCCCAATGTACCAAAACCTCATGCTGAAAAGCTCATTCGTGATTAGAGGAGCGAGAAGGAGAAGAAGCAGCCGTCTAATCTGGGCTTTAACCCAGTGTCCTTGCGTGTGGCGGGCTTCTTCTTCTTCTTCTTCTTCTTCTTCTTCTTCTTCTTCTTCTTCTTCTTCTTCTTCTTCTTCTTCTTCTTCTTCTTCTTTTTCTTCTTCTTCTTCTTCTTCTTCTTCTTCTTCTTCTTCTTCTTCTTCTTCTTCTTCTTCTTCTTCTTCTTCTTCTTCTTCTTCTTCTTCTTCTTCTTCTTCTTCTCGTCCACCTTGTACTTAATCGAAGTGTCAGGGGGAGATGTAACATTCGTTGATAAGCCCAGTCAAGACTATTAAGACTGATGTTAATCTCTGTAAGGCTGTTTTTAATGCCATCACTCCATATTTTCCGAGGTCTTCCACTCGCTCTATACTCGTTGTAACGTTTTAGTGTGGCTGGCTGCGGCAGATAGTACCAGGGCATTCTTGTTAGGTGTCCAGACCACTTCATTTGTGGCTGCTAAACTTAGGTAATTTCCGACAGCACCGCATCGCACAAAATCCTGCACTACATTTCAGTGAATTCTGCAATTGCACCCAAAGCGTCATGGATACTGCATTTACTTGTCTAACATAAACTAGACAAAATAAAGTGTGAAAGTACAGTATGCATCCAGCCAAAGGGAACGTGTAGCCAAACCAACTTGGCTGCCTGAAACGTAAACATGTTGCGGCATTGATTATCTGGTATGCCCAATTTTCCGCACTTGAGTAGTATCTGATGTATTTTGTAAGGTATTCTTCTACGCTTTGATATTTGCAGAAATGTCTTTATTTAAATGGCTTCATCTTCTTCTTCTTTTCTTCCTCCATATATCTCATCAATTTTTTTTTTGGGGGGGGGGGGCGGGGCGGGGGGGGGGGGGGGAGCCATAAAAATATTCTTTTTCTTTTTCTTCGCGTTCATCAGCTCTAAACTGTAGTGGAAAGTTTTGGTTGTTCATCCACTTTTGGATTGCAGTCCTGTTCCAGAACCTGAGTGTTGCGTGTGCATAGGTTTTACAGATCATCTGTGTGTAGACTGCTGGTTCCTTGCCTCTCAGGCAGATGCACTCCATCTTCGAAAGAAGCTGCCAATAAGTGGACTCTTACGACATGCTTTTGGGTAGGCAGTGGGTCTATTTTTGTTTTCCCTATAACAGGGCCCAGGAACCCACACGGGGAGGGTATGGAAGGATATTGTAAATACTTGCTCGTATCGACATCATGTCAGCTTCTGTGGCTAAGGCGTTGCGAACGCGCTTCGTAATGCCGGGGTGTTAGGTTCGATCCCAGCTGCAGGTCCTGCGCCTTGCATTGGTTTCGACAGTGGTATCGAGAAGCCGAACGTCTAGAAAGCAATGGCAAACTACTGGACGTAAATTTGCCTAGAAAAATCACAATAGCCACACACACACAAATGCTGGGGTTGGTTCTGCGACGTCCTGTAAAGGATACGCAACTAACGTATCGACATCCTAGCACATTGATCTCACCGACCCGTGCTCCGTGCTCCGATAACGCAGCACTCTCAGTGTCTCTGTGCTCAACCATGACCGGCTCTAGCTGACGGGACGTGCTGCTGACGTCAACGGATAGGGCTAACAATGTGTTAACGTAGCGGTTCTCAAACAAGAAATAAACTATTTTTGACAGTGGCGAGGGAAGACAACTTAAATTTTAACTTTTAAATATCCGCATGCCTTCTTTAATAATTTCACAATTTTTTTAGCCGACTTTTCTTGATTATTGCCGCGGCACCCCTGACATACGCTCACGGTACCCCAGGGTGCCTCGGCACCCAGTTTGAGAACCGCTGCTTGAACGTGTTGTTAGCCCGACCCGGTGACTTTAGCAGCACGACCCGTCAGCTGAAGCCAGTCGTGGCTCAACGTACCCAGTAGGAGCATATATTTTCTGCATTGTAATGCTCGTTTAATACAAGGATTTGTGAGTAGGTACCGAGGGCGACAAGTTGGTGGTGTTTGTTTTTTTAACCTTCATTTACGTGCAACACAAGCAACAACGCCACGTCGTGTCAGATGGGGCTGAAGAAATCTCACTATTTGGTTCAAACAACGAATCTTACCATTTACACATTACTCAGTCGTGGTCAACAACTGCAAAGAAGCAGCAGTCCGCTAAACATCTCACCGACACTCAACACATTGGAGATATGAAACAAAATCTGCGGCGTGGGCTGCATGTCAGCGGTAAACTGAAAGAAAGAATCATGTCAAATCATGTAAAGTTTTACCAGAAGAGTGGTTGTGAGTAGAGATCGTAATGTAGCACTGAAGCTCTTTCAGCAGAGCCCACGCATGACCTACCTTAGGTCTAAAGTAGGTCATGGCCCATGCATCAGATACACTGGGTGGAGACTTCAATCCTGATTATGTTCAATCTTTTACCTTCGTGTAGGTAGAAGTCGCATGACTTACTGGGATTTCACTTTCATAAATATTTCCATGCTGCTTATCTACACTAAGGACGACTCCACATAAAAGCAATTCGCGTCGTTCCTAGTTCAGTATTGATCTACGTGCTGAGGAACTGAATGGCCAAGAAACACTGATCACTAACCTGGAATCTCCGATACCAGGCATTTGGACATCGTTTGGACGCTCCGGGTCTCATCCCAAGCAAGCAGGCACTATTACGGTGGCCGTATACTCCCTGCAGCATTTCAAGAAAAGAGTAAAACATCAATCAAATCGGGTCCTCGCCGGAACAACGGGTGACGTGCTACTGAGCGGAGATGCGACACAGCTGAAAGGAGAAGAAGAAAGGAGAGAAGAGAGAGAAAAAGACATGACGGTATGCGGCTATTGTAACTGTATATACCAAATATGTGATTGATGGGATCATCGCCACATATCTCCAGACAGATGCATA